TTAGTAACAATAACACCGCATAAAAGCAAGGGTACATATAATTAATATTGCTCAAGTTTTATATTTTTTTTTTGTTTAAATTGTTGATAATTGTAATAAATTGGGCCAGGTTGGAACAGTCTTTTTTTTTGTACTCAATCAGATATCACCCAGTTGTTTTGTAACAATTGCTAAAACAATGCAACCCCAGACGACACACAACTGTCGACTTGGTCCTTGTTAATGGACCGATCATCATATCAACGGTACTTAACAACAATTCGGTGCACAATTACATCCCTAAAAACTTATCACTACCACAACGGCTCGTTTTCTTTCAATTTTCAAATAATTATCATTCATTCGACATCATACAATTGTGCGTTTATGTATTGATAGCGACTTTATTATGAACACGCCCTTCAACCCTCTACTCATTTGAGAAAAACGTACAAAGTAACCCTCACGATCCAAGACCACAACCCCCGGGGGCAGCTGGGATTAATTACAATCGTAAATAATAATTAAAAGTTCGATTTCAAACAATATTGAATCAAATTAATTTAAGTACTTAATAGTTATGTTTTGTGCCGTTGTAGAGATCGTAGAAGGGATGTATGCGTGCACCAACCGTTCCAACCCTCGGCCCCCTACTACAGTACACTATAATAAACATAAATTTCCATCTCAACGTATAACACTTCAAATATTTAAATATATCTGTAGTAATATATGTTGTATAAATCTACATGTAATTGAAAACAGCGAGGGAGCGTCCAGCCGGGCTACTCTCTACATTCAAAAAAGACGCGCCCCGTACATCGGGGCCAACGTCATCAGAACTACAACACCAATATAATAAGTGCGAAAAATTTAGCGATAGAGCAGTGTGACAACATATAATAATATTTAATAATTGTTTTTTCGTTTTGTACTTTGAAGGGAAGAAAGCAGGGATAGTATATATTTTTTTGTAATATGCATATGTATGTACCTGTGTCGTTTAGTGTATGTATGTATGTATTAGCACAGTTTTTTGTTTTAAAGGGGTCTGTGAAAGTAACAATTGAATGTTGCATGAAGACCTGTCCCTATGTATTGTTGGAATTTAAACGTTAATTGTTACGATTGTAGAAGGGTGGAGAATGTGGAAACAATTGTTTCTTTTGACGAGAGTTAAGGGTTAGAGGTTACGGGTTACCTAAAGTTTTGAATTGCATAAAAAGCGAAATAAAGGTAAAAAAACAAAAGAGCACACAACCATGAGCAACACGCCACTATATACATTGACATAAATATAAATTTGTAACACTTATTCTTACTGTTAGGTAGTAATATATTACGTTATGTACCTATAATACTAATGTAAAGAAAACTATACTATAATATTATAAAATATTGTAGTTTCCATTCAAATTTCGACTCTAAACCTAGGTAAATTACTATCACTGGCAATATTGTATTACTTTTTAAAATCACACTTGGAACCAGAATTCGAGTAATGTAATAATGATTTTTTTTTTTATTTATTTAGATTGAAGATGATGATTTCGATGATACTAATTATAATAAGTATAAAAATCCCGATTCCAATATATGGTAAAAAACTTACGCGTTACGTCTACATCCAATTTCTTTTTTATTTTAAAGCCAATCGTATAAAAAATATATATTATAGTATTTTATCGAATTTCAGTACAAAAACACTTAAATGCAGTCTGTACAATTGCGAAATTCTCAAACCTTAAAGCGCTACAAGTTTTACAATTTCTTTTGTTTCATTTCAATTTTGTTTCATTTTTTTTTTTCATCTCATGGTTGGTGACAAGCGGTTATTATGTGTCATAAAAAAGCGAAGAAAAACAACCGACTGACTCGACAAGCTACAATATATTGTATAGTGTTTTATTATTAAAGAAGAAATAAATTCGCTGGTGCTTCTTTGTTACTTCAATTCACGACCTTTTACCCTGATAGCACATGCCAAATTTTCTTATTATTACTATACATATTTATCAATAATAATAATAATAATAATATCGTATCTACAAAATGTGCCCCCGCGTGTATTTAACAAAAATTAATTATTTCTCGGATCTTAGACGTGCTTAGTAAGAAATAATGACTTTAGGCCACACTTATTTTATTGTTTATTGTAGTATGATTAATAATTTTAATTTCGAAATGCAAACGCGGGGCACAGACGACAGCAAACAAAGCTCCAGACGAAAAATTTTGTTTCAATAAAACGAAAAAAGAAGAACATCGTAAAACGCAAGAAGTTTTTGTTCCGCACACCAGCGCAGACGTGTCAATCGTTTCGTAGTCTACCTTAATTACGACATTATTAATTAGTATAGTAAGACTAACTGCATGTTCTAAAAACCTACACTTACTGACATACACTTATCATATCAAATTTAGAAAACGGTACGTTTTTAATAATTCGATTGGAAAAATTAGTGGGTATTATTACTAAATATTTTATATATATGTACACGATCGTCGATCGTCACACAATAATGTGGAAAAAAGGGAACATCGTAAATAGACCGTACATTATTATTATCATATAGGCCTTGTTTAACAACAACAAACATCAAACTCCCGCACCCACTTGAGTCTATCAAAAAAAAAAGAAGATTAAGCCGAAACTGCCAAACAAACGAATATCGATTAAATAACATATGAATGTATATCACAATCGTAAAGGTATGGCGTCTATTTCTATAACGTAAAATAAGATACGGTAAGTACAATAATTTTTTTTCTTTTTGATACTAATATGGCACGTTGAGAATTTTTTTTTGGCAAATACGAAAGACGAAGTTAATTAAATTCTTTTCAATAAAGAAAATTAAAATAAATGTGGACAAGAAAAATAACTTTAAAGAACGAACGGACGTTTAGATAATAAAATTATTTTGGAGGACTCAAGTGAGAGGGATGCTTTATCTTATTTTGCGGGGTGCATGCAAACTACCTAAAAATACGTTCTTTTAAGCTACAGGGTAGGGTATACACTAGGCACAACACTACAATATATTTATCAGCGGCTTAGGCTCACACATTCCGATTCGGTCGATGCGTTTTTGTTTACTATTTTATTTTTTTCTTATAGAAAGGAAATAGATGCAAAAGCCCGCGTGTAGGGTTCTCTTCTAAATAATCAACTAGAGAAAAATTACCAGCCCTGCCATGGGATATTATATTATCATAACCAACAAACATATTAATTATAATAACACCACCGTAGTAGTATTCTTTATTTCATATTTAACCCTTGCCTTTTTCTTTTGTTTTCTTCTTTTTTTACTACTGTGAGAGGTAGCAATGTAGAGAAATTGATTTAGATTGGATTACAGTAATAATAATAATAATTAATAATAATAATTAATAATCCGTTAAATAATATTACCTATAGACTTTTAATTAATTTTATTACCATTAACAGAACGAATATGTTTCTAGAGGATATTTTAATGGCAGTTATGGTTAATATTCCTCGTATTATCAACGAAAATAACTACATTTAAAAGTGGAACTTGGGGGTGGTAGACATTTCGCTCCAATTATTACTACTTTATTATTTCCAATGCGAATATCGGTAAAAATTTTTTTTTTAAAATTTCACTAACTGTAAAAATGTATTTTCCAATGATACACACATACACCGATAAAAAATAGTAAGAATTTTATAGTTTTGTCTGCTAAATGTTCACCACCGTCATGACCCGATATAATACTTAGAATTCCAAAGAACAAAGACTAATCCATTGACAGGAACTAATTTAACAATTACTTATATGATTTGTATAAAATTTGCAAAAGTAACGGATTTTGTACTCAAGCAATTTTCACTAATATTTTGCCACTTGCATCGCTCCAACAAAAGGCCCACGTCGATAAATCAAACATTTACTGTACTTATTAGTTACCAACTCTTTCATCGCATTGATTACGAAAGAAAACAAAAATTCTTATCAAAACTCACTACCAACTCGAAGTTAATTAATGATAAGAAAATGTTAAAAAAAACGTTTAAAATGTTGCAAGATTATCAGTACCTACCCAATAATAATAATAATAATAAAAAGTTTTAGATGTACGCTGTAAAATCACTTTAAAAATGAAAAATAAAATTGTACGAAGGCAGACGAAGTGGCAGATGATGTTGTGGCAGGGTAATCGACCGCCTTTAATCCATCTGAGATATTACGTTTTTGACACACGCACACTGCCCATTCACACCCCCCGGGAACGCACCAGCATCCCCCGGACATGCACTCCTATCAGTAATTATTGGGGAACAGCAACTTGGGAGAATTTTGTCACAGATATTAATTCATTCACATATTTCACTGTTTTGTTTTTTTTTTGTTGGCATTCGTTTGTTTCCGAAAAAAAAAACGACGATCTGCGTTATTGTTGCGTGTGGCTGTCTGTGTGTACATGTGGGTGTACTGGGGTGGATAAAAAACATGTATACCTATATGTACCTATAACAAAAAAAAAAAGAATGAATGAACAAACTCTGTGTCCGTATCTCACCTTTCACAAATAAATTCGTGATTCACATAAGAAACTGGATTGCTTCTTAAATTTCAATAATAATCGCGATTATTATCGTAATCATAATAATAATAGTAGCAGTAGTAGCAGTAATGTAGTGATAATAAATTCAATTCAATATAGACGATACCTCCTAAATAAAATGTTCTCGAAGAAAACTTAGTTAAAAGTATTGTACTAAATCACAAACTTTGAATAATAATAATAATAATAATAAACATTTAAGTGATTATAATTATACTAAATGCTAACACAACATAATAATATATTTCTACAACAATAAAAAATAAANCATATTAATTATAATAACACCACCGTAGTAGTATTCTTTATTTCATATTTAACCCTTGCCTTTTTCTTTTGTTTTCTTCTTTTTTTACTACTGTGAGAGGTAGCAATGTAGAGAAATTGATTTAGATTGGATTACAGTAATAATAATAATAATAATAAACATTTAAGTGATTATAATTATACTAAATGCTAACACAACATAATAATATATTTCTACAACAATAAAAAATAAAAAAGAGGGCGAACGCCACGACCCATAAATCCTTTTTTTTTATTCTGTCTGTCACTCATCCCTTACTAACGTTAGGAAAAGCGCTAAAAACAAAAAAAAGAATATCGGGGGGGCGTTCGCCCGTAATAACGAAAAACTGGATAAATGCCGTAAAATGCATAACAACTTAATATTTAAATAATAACTCTGTTCATTCTTAATCCGAAGTGGAAAAATCGACCTTTATCGATTTTTTTTCATTAATTATTAGAAGCTTACTAATTATAGATATTATGTATTTTAAAAAATCATCACTGTTTAAGACTTACACGAAAATAGAACTAGTTTAGAAAGCACCTATCAACTACATATACGATGATCTCTAGTTTAACAATAAAATGAAAATCTCGTTATAGTAAACATCAAAATTTCGATAAATCGATACACATAGATATAAATCGGACTATTATTGGAAAACCGAAATTTGGATTTCGAATGAACTCAAAAGTTTCCCTCGCATCCAGAAGAATTAATAATAAAACAAAAGCAACAAAAAAAAAACAAAACCAATTCTCCTATTATTTTAAGAAATATTAATAAATACTCAATTAGACTAAAAGATTAAATCTATTAAAACCTACGATACGCAGTATAATAAAGATATAATATATATACATGTATATGGGAGGGAGGGGTTGGTTTTATTAAATATGCAAGTCCTTCACGTAATCACGAACTAGATATATTAAAACTGTTTACTACACAGTTTGCCGACTTGATTTTGAAAAAAGAAAAGTTCCTGTTAATAACGACGTATCGAAATTATTTAACTAATTCGTAAGTATACCCTATAACGGGAGGGGGTCGCTCGTTATTATCATGAAAAAATATTGCCTAAACAATTTACACGGTTAACGTCAAGTGATGTGCTACTAAACTATAATTGTTATTGTTGTAATTTAATAATAGATATCTAAAAACAAAAAAAAAATTGAAAAGGGTAGTACTACTGTTTCGGATTGAGAATATACAGAGTGTCACACATTCGTAATAACAAATGAAACTACAAGTTTGTCTATCGTACACGGGTGGCGAGCTGGATGCGACAGAACTCGTCGAGACGAAGACCGGCCAATTCCCGCCAGAGCATCCCCAGGTCCAGATCGTACGGGGGGGATGTCTCTGCGGGTGGTGTACTGTTACGCGCGGCCTTCCTGGAGGCCGCGGGCTATGCCCACAGCGACAGCGATCGCTGCATGATCTGCTGCCGCGAGTAACAGTACGGCAATGCCTTCACGAAATGCGTGTCGACCGTGCGGCAATGGGGACACGAAACCATGTGGCTGTAATCGCTGAAGAAGTTTAGGCGCTGCGTCGGATGCAAAACGGGCTTATAACATGCGTTGCACTGTAAATAATAAAAAAAACTAGATACTATTGCAAAGCTGCATTTTCTTTTTTTGTTTTGGGGCATTGGCGTTTTGGAAGTCTGTACAAACTGTCCAATCACAGTATTCCAAACATTTGAGCATCACAATTATGAAGATGGTCTCTTTAAGGGACGTCCACGTAATTGAAATTTTCAAGAATTAATAACCAAAAATATCAATCAAAATCTTATTTGGATCTTGGCATTTTGAAATCGCAGATTTTTGAAAAGCCTGTACAAATTCCAAACATTTGAGCATCACAATTATGAAGATGCTCTCATTAAGAGACGTAAACGTAATTGAAATTTTCAAAAATTAATAACCAAAAATATCAATCAAAATCTTATTTGGATCTTGGCATTTTGAAATCGCAGATTTTTGAAAAGCCTGTACAAATTCCAAACATTTGAGCATCACAATTATGAAGATGCTCTCATTAAGAGACGTAAACGTAATTGAAATTTTCAAAAATTAATAACCAAAAATATCAATCAAAATCTTATTTGGATCTTGGCATTTTGAAATCGCAGATTTTTGAAAAGCCTGTACAAATTCCAAACATTTGAGCATCACAATTATGAAGATGCTCTCATTAAGAGACGTAAACGTAATTGAAATTTTCAAAAATTAATAACCAAAAATATCAATCAAAATCTTATTTGGATCTTGGCATTTTGAAATCGCAGATTTTTGAAAAGCCTGTACAAATTCCAAACATTTGAGCATCACAATTATGAAGATGCTCTCATTAAGAGACGTAAACGTAATTGAAATTTTCAAAAATTAATAACCAAAAATATCAATCAAAATCTTATTTGGATCTTGGCATTTTGAAATCGCAGATTTTTAAAAAGCCTGTACAAATTCCAAACATTTGAGCATCACAATTATGAAGATGCTCTCATCAAGAGACGTAAACGTAATTGAAATTTTCAAGAATTAATAACCAAAAATATCAATCAAAATCTGATTTGGATCTTGGCATTTTGAAAACGCGGATTTTTGAAAAGCCTGTACAAATTCCAAACATTTGAGCATCACAATTATTATGAAGATGCTCTCAATAAGAGACGTCCACGTAATTGAAATTTTCAAAAATGAATAACCAAAAATATCAATAAAAATCTTATTTAGGTCTTGGCATTATGAAAACGCTAAAAATTTGGTGAAGCCAGATTTTTAGCCTAGGCTACAAATTATGGATTTATCAAATTTGTCAGTCTTCCCGAAAATATGATAAGAGCTGCTTGAAAAAAGTGCCTCCAGCTGTCATACCTTGGAAGCACTTTAATCGAACCCTTTCATGGTCAAAAACGCTAAACATTTTTTTAAGACAGACTTTTGGCCTAGACTAAAAACTATGGACTTATCAAACTTACCAGTCTTCCTGAAACCTATCATGGTCAGAACTGGACTTGAAAAAAATATTCCAGCAACAAGTCATGGTATTTTGAAAACGCTAAAATTTTTTGAAACCAGACTTTTAGCTTAGACAACAAACTACGGATTTAACAAATTTGTTAGTCTTCCCCAAATCCATCATGGTCAAAGCCGGGCAGATCTTTACTGCTTCAAAAATGTGCTTCCAGCTTTTATACCCTGGAAGCACTTTAATCGAATCCTTTCATGACCATTTGGTGGGGCCTCAGTAAACAAATTACTTTATAAAAGTTCTTTATGTTTGTAATTCAGAAAGCTTCAAACTATTTCCTTTGAAAATGTTTCAAGTACTTTTGCTTAGGGATTTCAATCTGATTGTTTTCGAAGTACGTAACTGGCGATTTAAACTCCTTGTATTTTTAGGGCTTGGTGCTGTTTTTGGTGATGGCTCTGTCCAACTCTGACCATAATATTTCCAAACTTTGGGCATCACAAAATGAAGATAGTCTCGTTAAGGGACGTCCACGTAATTAAACTTTTTATGATTTCCATAAAAATCAAAGGAAATCTAATCTAAGCTTTGGCATTTTGAAAACGGTAAATATTTTGTGAAGCAAAACTTTTGGGATAAACTACAAACTATGGATTTATAAAACTTGTGTCTTCCCGAAATCCATCATGGGCAGAGCTTCTTTACTGCTTGAAAAATATACTTCCAGCTTTCATACCTAGGAATCACACTAATCTATCCCTTTCGTGGCCATTTGGTTGAACCTCGATAAACAAATTACTTTATAAAAGTTCTTTATGTTTGTTATTCAGAAAGCTTCAAACTCTTTCCTTTGAAAATATTTTCAAGTACTTTTTCTTAGGGATTTGAATCTAATTGTTTTCGAAGTATGTAAGTCTTTGGACTTAGGGCTTGAAGCTGTTTTGATGATCACTTTACTTGGCTCTGATAAAATGTTTTTGAATCTAACAATTATGATCTTCATCTAATGAGACAGCAATTTTTAAAAACCACTGTACAAATCAGTCGAAGGATTTTCCAGTTTAGGCTTTGACAAACAGGAAACGAATTTCCAAAAAACCTGGACGTTTTCGCGAAACATCAAAATAGGGATGAAAAAAAAAAAAAAACATTTCTCGTAAACACTGACCTTGATTCGTTCTGTACAACACGGCATGGCAGCGAAGATATCGTAGGAATACATGGTTCCCAAAACAAGTGAGGACCCGTCCCACTGTTGACCACAGAAACGGCACCTGATGGCACGACCCGGAGCCCTTTCCAAGCATCCCATGCAAACTGCTGTTAAAAACTGTGTGCGTCCCTCGCCCTTGACCTGCAACAACAGAAACACACCCTGCAGCCTTTTCCTTTACGATGATAATAAGTTTTAACGTCGACTTCATAATAAATAAATAATTAATGCAATCGAGGGGGGGGGTTATAAGTAACGGACATTATCTGAGAATTACACATAATAACATCTTTACAGCATCATTAAATCGGCTTTACTACTGCATGTACTACTCACAAAATTAATAGAATTTTTGATTAACTTATTCAAGGGGATGGCTCAGTGACTTTCCGAAGATAAAAACAAAAGAAACGTGGTAGACACTTACCTCTATACAGCTCTTGGCATGTTGACGTGGACTCAGGAAGAACGTCCCGTCGACCAAAGGATACCTGTCGAAAACTAGCATTTGTTCTTCGCACAGCACGCAGTGCACTTTGTTACGTCCCTGGGATGCCAACGTGGACAAAATGAAGCATCGCGTATCGTCGTTTCCATGATTGCCTTCATCTTCCGTCTGAAACAAAAGAAAAACAACGTTAGACAAGTAAAACCAAAAACAAAAGACTACTAATTCGATAAACAGAGAATCTAAATGTGGTATTGTAGTTATATTGTAAGTTCTCAGAGTGTTTACTCTGGTTTGCAATTGAAACATCACAATCAATCCCACTTCCTACCCTCATTTTGTGCAAACAGATATCAAGTAAATTAGAAACACATGATGGTAGGCGAGCCACTTGTTGTACCCTCTCTCTATTTGTCTATCCGTCTAATATCAGAGACAACTTTCTCGGGTAAGCATCAATCATTAATAAAGTAGTAGAGAGATCGAGGGAAGTTAGTTTATCGCTCACTATCAACAACTGTTTGTATAAGTGTAATCAGTTCCTACAAACATCCCAAACATTTCATTAATCCCGCATTTGTTTGCAAAGATCTCTGCAAATACGTCTCATACGTATCTTTCTGTTTAGATAGGACACGGCAGTTAAAGGAAAAACCAACTGGAATCGAAACTAAACCCAATTATACATTAATTTATCCAAAATAGGTTGTAAAAATCTGTTATTTCTATTTATATATTGTATATATCAAAAGAAAACTTTTCACTTTACAGTATTTACTATATTTTTCTTAATAAAAGCGCTTTTAACGAGTTTTATGGCTTCCCGCTCATTTCAAATTCAAACAATTTAAAAACTATATAATGGCCGACAACAATTGAATATCATAATGGCCGTCAAGGACAACAATGCAACAACAATTGAATACCATAATGGCCGACAACGTAAACAATGCAATAACAATTGAATATCATAATGGCCGACAAAGTCATCAATGCAGCAACAATTGAATATCATAATGGCCGACAAGGTCAACAATGCGACAACAACTGAATATCATAATGGCCGACAAAGTGAACAATGCAATAACAACTGAATATCATAATGGCCGACAAGGACAACAATGCGACAACACCTGAATACCAAAATGGCCAACTACCTATATATTTTGAATATATAATGTAATATCTCCGATATTAATCTTTCCCTACAACACCTCAGAGGTCTCGGATTAAACTCCGAAGTAATCATTTGCCTAAAATCCCCCGAGATGAAGATCCGAACTCAATATTCGCGTGTCTAGCTGTTAAGGGTCAATTCTTACTGCCCATTACGTTCCCCAATTCGATGCGATGCCCTCGGGCTAGCACCCGGTCCCATTTTCTGATTAAGCGTTCCAAAACAAGAAGCCGATTATTATCATAACTCCAGTTTCCATTAACGTGTGCCCATTAACGTCTTCTTAAACCGAACAGCACTCGACATACGGCCGAACCAACGAATATTACGCAAATCTGTAGATTGTAAATTCGCAAAGGGGAACCCCCCGAAAAGCTCAAGTACAAACACGTGAACCGAGTTAATGGACGGACAATGGTAAACTCCGCAGAATATGTTCTATCTGCATATCCTGAAGACAGATTTTATCAATAGCGAAAATTTTGCCTACCAAAGTAAGATTTTATTATCCACTGGGAGATCTGTGGAAGAGAAAGACTATTTAGAAACCGTTAGGAGGCACAAGCATTTTCAGGTCCTTCTGTATCCATTAGACCCAAATCAGGACACCATCAGTTCACCTACTGGCCGCGAAATCGTTTAGAAATTTGCAACACATAGAGATTATTCAATCACCGAATATTTATCTTTTGTATTTATTTGTTATACATTTTCTTCTTACGTTGGAGATCGAAATGAAGGTCCTTCTATCTCCGATGCAAGATGTAAAGTCTGTATCTATTAGACCCGCATCAGAACACCATCAGTTCACTAACTGCCCGCGAAAGTCTTTACAAATTTGCAACACATCGAGACTATTCAATCACAGAGTATTTATCTTTTGTTTTTATTTCTTATACATTTGCTTCTTAAGTTGGAGAGTCTAGACAATAATTCATCGGAATGAAAAAATCCAGGTTGTTGACACACCGTATGTATAGAGATATAGAGACACAACTTTTCTTCGTAGCTATTGTGGCTCAGTACCTACTACCTGTGTACGACGATGGAAGATAAATGGGAGTCACGCGAATTGGTAATTTACATCGGCCCGTAAAGGCGAAACAATAGTTGGGTCATTAGCAGAGTCTTGAGAACAAAAGGGATGTATCTCTTCTCGTGTAGCCGTAAGTTACGCGGCGACTGTTTCGGGTCGCGCCACATACAGCCACGGCCAACAGTGGCTCGGTGGTGTTTGTTCGACGAAGTTATTACATCCGCTTTCGTCTTCTGATTAAGCCTTTCGCCGGATATTATAGCTCGGAGTAAACACTTGCAAAGCACGCATCGGCAACCGAGGAAACCCTCTTCGGGCCAATAGTGCCAAATTTATTGGGGTATTAAACGTTCGCTTGCTTATCAGTAAACAGCGCCGAAGAAAAACATAGACACTAAAATGTAACTAAGGACACGATCAGGCGACATAATTAATTTAATAAATCTTGGCTTATGTAGACATTCCTGACGAACTTTCCGAATTCTCAAAACAACTGTGTTAAAATGACCACCAAATAGTATCAACATCATCCCCCTTAAAAGTGTTGTCGTAGTTCTCTCAAACTGGGATAAATGAGTATCAACTTTTAATTCTGGTTAGATCTCAATTGGAGGATAATCGTAATCTATTTATCTATAGATCATTTCATCCTCTTAAGGTCGTCAGTCATAAAACTGGTTGGAAACGCACCTCCACTCCTTCCTAGCTAATCTTCGCATTTCCCTAAAACTAGAACATCCCACATGCTTAACTATTTGCGAACAGTAATCTAATCTAGGTCTACCTCTACCCCTCCTAACTCCTGTTTCTGCTTCTAATATGTCTCTGACTGGACCTTCATGCCTGAGGTGTCCTACCAACCTATCTCGCCCATTTCTTATTGACTTCCATAGAGTCCGCTGTTCTTCTAATCTTTCTAATACCTCTTCATTCTAACCTTCTCTGTCCACGATATCCTCATCATTCGCCTGTAACTCCACATTTCGAACGCTTCTAACATTTTCTTTTCCGCCGCGCCAACCGTCCATGTTTCGCACCCGTACAGCACCGCCTTCAAACATACACCTTTAACAACCTTTTTCGAATTTCCAAATTAACCGTTCGCGACCATAGAAGTGACTTCTTTTTATTGATGGCGACTCTACCCTGCTCTATCCTCTGCTTTATATCCCTACTACTCCTTCCGTCCTGACTTATCTGACTTCCTAGATACCTAAAATCAGCCACTTATTCTAATTTTTCGTCTCCTATCTTTATATTCGCTCTTTCCCTACTTTTTCTTCCCTTACATACGAGTATTTTTGTTTTACTTTCATTTGTTTTCATACAATATTTTTATTTAAAGCTATCTCTACCCTCAAAATTAATATCAGGTTTAGTGGCTTCAAAATTGTCGATCAAAGTTGAAACATCATCCACACACGCCTTTTGCACGGAAGGCGCTGTTGGGCTTGGCTTTTGGCTCGGTTTGTTTCTTTGCCGTTTAAGATGAAAATTCGCGAAGTCATTATGCAAATCCCACTTTATCCATCATAAGGACGTGAGTAAATGACAATGACAACGAGGCATGACTAAGCTTTTATGCTAATTTACAGTACAAAGCTTCCCAAATTAGCCTGTCACAAGAATCTCGAGCTACCCTCTATCGCAAGTTAAGGTACACGTATGTTACAATAGCTACACACATCTACTAAAATATCGACGACATCAAAGTCTTTGTTCTCATTATCTCTTCAAAGTAAGAGAAATTTTAAAAGAAATGAAAATAAGTTAATTTTCCTCTTATTTTATATTCAATGTCACTAACAATGCGGAAACAACTGAATATCAAAACGAGCGGCAACAATTGAATGCCGCAATTACAGACAAAAATTGAACATCATAATGGCCGAGAAGAGTAGCAATACAATAACAATTGAATACCAAACTGACTGAAACAGCAGCAATACAACAATTGAATATGACTTCTTTATAATTATGAATCTAGCGATAGCACAGGACAGCTACCTTTATTTTATTTGAAGGTGTATCCAAACTTCCCTAGTTGATCTAAATTAGTTTTGGGGCTGAATTTAAAATTTTATTCGTAAGGGTGTGTAGTGTGCCCCGAAAAAAATTATCATTTTAATAATACTTTTCCTTCAGCATTCGTTCACGTTTCGGAAACCTAAGTAAACATTGCGTTAGCATACCTACCACCAACAAGCAACGTTTCGAAAAAGGAAAACAAGCGTTCCGCGCGGTACAGCAACGTTTCAAATTCATTCAGTATTCCTCCAAATATAATCAAACAAGACAGACAATTTGTTTGGTTTCTGTATAGGGCCTATAAAAGCGACCGGCGGACAGACAGGTCGATAGTTGGGTAACAACGGCAGGTACAGTCAGTGTTAGCAGCAGTTTAAATATTTACACTCAGTCTGCCCGCTTCTCCGTTTTCTCCATTTTTCTTTCTCCATTCTTTTTTCATTCAGAACAAATGAACGTTTTATACAAAGATAAACTAACTAAAGCAGCAATTTCATTTCAAAAGGCACGCACGATCGGTCGACTTCCATATAAAGCACTCTATAATATATTAATCATAAAAGGAATGAAGCAAAATCGCTTGCCTAAAACTTAAATCGTTGCGACGGCTTTTTTTTTATTTCCCGCTCTCGTTCAAACAATTTAAAAAGTTTAATGGCCGACAACGGTAACAATTGAAAAACTGACAAAAGATAACTGTAATTTTCACTTTCAACTGCATTTGTTTCACAAAACAAAAAGAAGTGAATCAAAACTAAGCTATCTAATGGATTCTAAAGACGATGTTCGTCGTAACCGTCTACGGCGTGCTGATGCGATTCACAGAGATTGAAATCGCGATCTACAAATCACTGATCAAGAAATTCTGATTTGTTTTAATGGATTCTAGTTAATTTTTCGACACTTCTTTTTATGATATTTGTTTCG